CAGTAAGAACTAATGACATCCGAAGAATAACAAATTTGAAAAACAAAACGACTCAATTTCGTTGAAGAATTCATATATGAAAAAACAAAAAAAAACGACTCAATTTCGCAAAAGAATCCATATTTGAAAAACACAAAAGCGACTCAATTTCGCAGAAGAATCCATATTTGAAAAAAAAAAAAAAAAAAAAAACGACTCAGTTTTACAGAAGAATCCATTTTTGAAAAACACACAAAAAGACTCCATATTTGAAAAACACAAAAACGATTCAATTTCGCAGAAGTATCCATATTTGAAAAACACAAAAAACGGCCCAATTTCGCTGAATAATTCATATATGAAAAAACAAAAAAAACGACTCAATTTCGCAAAAGAATCTATATTTGAAAAACACAAAAGCGAGTCAATTTCGCAGAAGAATCCATATTTGAAAATCAAAAAAACGACTTACTTTTAAAGAAGAACCCATATTTGAAAAACACTAAAAATCCACTCAATTTCACAGAAGAATCCATTTTTGAAAAGCACAAAAAACAACTTGCTTTTAAAGAATCCATATTTGAAAAACACAAAAATCGATTCAATTTCGCAGAAGAATCCATTTTTGAAAAACACAAAAAACGACTTACTTTTAAAGAATCTATATTTGAAAAACACAAAAATCGACTCAATTTCGCAGAAGAATCCATTTTTGAAAAACACAAAAAACGGCTCAATTTCGCAGACGCAATTATTTTGATAGAATTATATGAATTCAAGAATCTACCCCATAAATACCCAATCTGCAAGCAGACGAATTAAGATATAACAAATTCTAATACATAATTGAAACCTTCCCAACCAAAATGTGATAATAATCCAGCGTGAAAGTAACACTGAGAATATCAATGCCATAGTCGTACTGAGCAAGTCTTAGGATTTAGACACAGTAAGGATAACAGCTTGGAAAAGGAATTGGTAAGCTTGGTTCAAATTCCAGGCTAGTTCACTTTCGCACTAATGCCTTTAGGAAAAACAAGAATCTTTCTCTTCTCCCACCAGTTACAGGTTAAACAATACGGTAGAATAAACTTTCTATATTTGGATATTAACCAGAAGGAAAAGCGTAAAGAAAACAACTACGCCATCTTTTCCAATAAGTCATGGCAATTAACAGATAATATGCAGAAGGAAAATGTGGAGAGATGTGATTGCTTAAGTACTGAAAAGAGATAGCATTAAATCTAGAGTGAATTGGTTAAATAGAAGGGTAAACTTGACTATTGAGCTTTGATTGGCAGCCAGTCTAAGATAAGGTAAACTCTGAATTTCAAACCACATAGAAAACAAAATAATTCACTGATAATAAAGAAAAAGGAAGCCGTGAAGAGCCGTGTTTGCCTATGTTCTGAAGGTAGAATGCATTAAAGGAAAATCCAGCAGAAGATAATTACAGCACGCTGAAAGAAAGATTCAACTCTGGTTATTAAATTGAAAATTCTAACAAATCTTGTAAAAGTTGGAGGCACGGTGGTGTAATAGATAGCGGCAGGGGCTGAGGAATTCTTATCGTGTTCGTTACATTCTCTCGTGTAAAAATACCCCTGGGAAAGGTATGAATACATCTTTTCACCCCACCACTCAGCTATGGGTAAATGACTGCACAAACATTATTAGAATTAAGGCAAGATTAACATTTGGCCCTGAAAAGCTTGTCAAGTCGAAACTCTGAAGCCGGTCAATTAAGATAAGTCAATGGAACTTTTTGCTTTATTGAATATATATTCTATATACCGACTATATAATTTCAACGTAAAACAAGTCTTGTTAATGGGAATACAACATTCATTAATGATGGCTAACACCTATGTGGAATATCTTGGATCTTTGGCCCTGAGAATATGACAATAGAAACCTATACTATAGCTTAGATATATGTATGATCTATATGTTGAAGATACCATTCAAATCCTTTTGATTCTGTCAGATGCTTAATATAGTTCAGGCAAAAAATAAAACAACAATGAAATAACTTTCAATGATGTTCTTGTGACTAGCGTTTACGAAGAATTAATAGATGGAAAAGATATTCACTTCTAGAATAAAATAAATATAAGTAAAAATAAGTTAGCCAAAAATGCCCAAGTATGATAGTGACAACTTTTGTTATCTCTCTCTCTCTCTCTCCCTCCCCCCCTCTCTCTCTCTCTCTCTCTCTCTCTCATATCTTTAAATGTTAGACATTCCCACCCTAACACTAACGTAAGTTCTATGCTAAAAGTCCTTTTCTCTCGCACACTCTCTTCTGGCCACTTTATTTCCAGTCAACTTTGTTCTTCAAAAATGTAAATGCAATGTCGATCGTTATCTTCTGTCCTCCTAATTCCTGTTTTTTTTTTTTTATTGTGCTCTCTCCTTAATAATAATGTTTTTTTTTTCTTATATTCTTTAACATGCAATAATCCATTGTGCCTTAGTGCCTTTATTGTTTTCTTGAGGATTTATGTGTATATATATATATATATATATATATATATATATAACCTCTCTTTGACAGAAATGATTGTTTAAGTGAAAACAAATCTGTTAAATGCTTCAAATTTAAATCACGATAACGAAAACTCGAATTACTCAATTTTTAAATATATAATAAAATTAAAAGTATTTTTTTTTAATAATCTGAAATTACCATCCAGTTCTTGAACTTTGATCACAATGGGAGAAATTTTCAGAAAACCAACTGTAAATAAATACGGGTTTTATATTATCATATGTGATGGGAAATCTCATTATCACAGAATTGGACTTGAAAAATAAATATCTAATTACTGAAATTTGTGTTGTCTCCATCACACAGATATAAACCATAACGTATTGGCTATGATGTTTTGACTCTATAGTGGTATAGGTGGTAGCTCTGGCATCCGTATAAGATTACCATCATCAAAAGCACTTGTGATAACAAAGATTATAAAGGTATTCGTTCTTTGGCCTTTATTGGTTTCAGTATAAACCGTTACACTTAGACTTACTGTCACTCCAAATCTAACAGTTTCGTATGATACAAGTTATGATGATTATACTAAATCTACTCATAATTTTATAATGGCGGCCATTACAGTTACTAATGACGATAGTAACGATCACGTTGATGAATTTTGGTAGTGACTACATTAACGGATAATGTTAAGATTATGACGATATATTTACAGTAATAATATTAGTTGCCCGGGGATGTAACAGTAAGAGATAGATCAAGTATCGACCATCATAAAGACTGAAAAATAAAATTGACAAAGATTATTGTTTAAGGTTGACAAGACACGCATGTCTTAATTATTATTTTTTTTTTTTTTACGAATTGGTCAAACCCAAACTCAAACAAAAACATTGTTTTCAATCGTTATGAGTCTAACGATTGAATAGAATTTTATTATAAACAATTGTCTTGTAAATGGAATTTTTAAAGCATTCTGAAAAAAAAGTGTGCAAGACAATAAGAAACACTACCTGCCAAAAAAAAAGTGAGGTTTTGTTGAAATCGGTCGAAAAATGTAGGAAATCCGATCCCATATATAAACGAACACACACACACACACACACACACACACACACAACCTGGGTTTTATAAGTATAACTCGATATGAGTTGTCCCCCTTTCATTCTGGCGACAAAATCGTGTTTTATCGTGTTTTCAAATTGATTTCGTGCAAAAACAATTGTATTTTCTAATTTATGGCGCTGTCAGAACTACCGCAAGGTAGTGTTACGCAGTCTTGTGAAGTTTTGTTGAAATCAGTTGAAAAATGTAGGAAATCCGATCCAATATATAAACGTACACACACACACACACACACACACACACACACACACACACACACACACGCACGCACAATCTGCGTTTTATAATAAGTAAGATTTAGTTGAGGTTACAATAAATGAAACGTCCTTTTTCGAGTGCTACTATAGCGTGAGGTCCACTTCAATATAAATAATTGTCTTGTAAATGGAATTTTTAAAGCATTCTGAATGTAAAAATAAAGCAAAAAAGTGTGCAAGACAATAAGAAACACTACCTGCCAAAAAAAAAATGAAGTTTTGTTGAAATCGGTGGAAAAATGTAGGAAATCCGATCCCATATATAAATGAACACACACACACACAAACAACCTGGGTTTTATAAGTATAACTCGATATGAGTTGTCCCCCTTTCATTCTGGCGATGACTCTTAATCGTGTTTTCAAATTGATTTCGTGCAAAAACAATTGTGTTTTTCCAATTTTTGGCACTGTCAGAACCACCGCAAGGTAATTTTACGTAGTCCTGTGAAGTTTTGTTGAAATTGGTTGAAAAATGTAGGAAATCCGATCCAATATATAAACGTACACACACACACACACACACACACACACACACACAACCTGGGTTTTATAATAAGTATGATGACGGTAAAATTAAAAATGACCATGTTGATGAAAATGGGTTGTGTGATATAACGGAGATTGATACTGATTTTTATGGTGTCAAAACGAACGGTAACGCCCTCAAACTCATTGTAAGTTTCTTACTGTCATATATTTTTAAACGGTTTGATTTTAAATTCACTATTAACTTTATTCCCATTTTAAATTTCTTCTTTGACAATTTCCTTCTTATTTCCAGTTTTCTTTTTTGCATATCGTTCTTCACGTCCTTTCTCCGGATTCGGGCACCTAACAACATTTCACAAACGCCGCGTCACTATTTCACTCACACTCTGCCATAACCCACATTTCAAACCCATAGCCCTCCCACAATGAACCTATCCCTACCTCCAACCTTGACACCCCCCCCGGACCCCTGATATTCTCATACCCTCTCGCTTTTTATATCTTCCCCCCATTTTGATTCTTATTCGTATTCCTGTTCTTTTTTCCCCCCGCGTTACGCATTCTTCGTGACTATGATCTTGTTCTTCAACGTTTGACATTGTCTCGTCATCCACACTCTCACCCACACCTACACTACTTTATACACTCATATGCACCATCGTACCACCACCAGCGCCGCCGCCGCCGCCGCCGCCACCATACAAACGCCTTCTTCCCAACCCTTACCCAACACCATGTCATTTTGTCTCATTCTATGTCACTTCCACCGATGTTTCACCTCTCTCCCCATCCACCATCACCACCACCACCTCTTCTCCCCCACCTTTAACTTTCTTCTTTCTTTCTTTTGCTCCCAACTCTTAACCACTCCTATGTCACAATCCAACAATATCTCACGTCACCTTAACTACTCGTCAACCGTCACAAATCACACACACACATAAACACACACACACACGTACACACACACACACACAATATTGCCACCCTCACATCCACTCTTTGCCACCTTTCATCAAACCCCTACCCTCTCTTCCGCATCTTCTTCTTCTTCACTTTATTTTACTTTCATCTTCATTAATTTATCTTTTGATAGTCATTAATTCAAACTTACTTTTCAATATCTTTATTGTTTTTTAAATATTTATATCACATTTTCCCTCCCTCTCTCTCTCTCTCTCTCTCTCTCTCTCTCTCTCTCTATCTATCTATCTATCTATCTATCTCAGTCTATCTATCTATCTATCTATCTATCTATCTATCTATCTCTGTATTACTCTCGTCTTCTCATTTTACTTCAGCTGAATTTTTCTCAAATTTTCTTATATTTCTCGTCGTCTCTCTGTGACCGCCATTCATTTTCGTAATTTTAAAAATGATCCCTTCTCTCTCTCTCTCTCTCTCTCTCTCTCTCTCTCTCTCCGTCTTCATTTCTCATCATATTACTTTATATATGAGTGCGTCTGTGTGTGTATGCGCAGTTCTATCTATCTATCTATCTATCTATCTATCTATCTATCTATCTATCTATGGTCTGTCCGTATCTATGTATCACGGTCAGTTCATATCTGTTAAGTTCTGTTTCTAGCTATCTCTCTGACCAGTTTTGCTAATTATCTTAATCGTCGCCTTTTGTCAAACAAGATTTTTCTCTTTGTCACGTTTGTTTGTAACTTTAAGTTTATCACTTCAAAATAATTTTATTGTCTTCCTCTTCATTTCGCTCCCTTCTTCTTCTTCTTCTTCCTTCCTTCCTTCCTTCCTTCCTTCCTTTTTAAATCAATTCTTTTGCTTCTTCCGTCCATTTTTCTCTCTTTTTCCCCTACTTTACCCACTCGCGCTCACTCTTTCCCAACAAACTTTCTGTTTCGGCTTTCAAACTGTACAGTGCCTCTCTAGAAATTTGTATTTTCCTGAAATTTCACTTTCCTGATTCTCTTTCTCTCTCTATTCCTATATCACCACCACCACCTTCTTCTTCTTCTTCTTCTTCTTCTTCTTCTTCTTCTTCTTCTTCTTCTTCTTCTTCTTCTTCTTCTTCTTCCTTCATTTTATTATCCTTCCACTTTTATTTATTCTTCTCATCTATCCCCATCCATCCACCCATACACCCGTCTCAACTCTTCACCGTAATATCCGTGTCACTTTGGCTACTAAAGACCTTACCCTCAACATGTACCCCTTTGTAATAAACCTCTTCATTTCTCTAGTTCTTAACATCTCTTAATTCTTCTTAACGCCTCTTCACAACCCCTGTCCAATTTTATATATTTACTTATATAAGTTTTTACTTATTGTTTCCAATCCCCACCTTTTACCTTATCTTTTCTTACCTGATCCCGACTCTTCTACACTTTCACCTTTCTATACTATGATATCTTTATTGGTTTTACCTTCCGAATAATCAACACTATCCACCCACCCACGTCGCACTGGCATCAACTTGCACCTATACCTTTCTTAACCCGGATTTACACTTATCGAATTCCGTACGCACATTTTTTTTCCCTTTCTTTTTCTTTTCATTCTCATGGCTAATATTTGCTTTTCTATCTTTCCTCCTTTCTATCTTTCTTGCCTTTTCTTATCTATTCTCTCCCTTTTCTGTTTTTGTTTACATTTTACTTCATTCTTTTTTTCTTTTCTTTTTCGTTTCTTTCCCCTTCCCTTTTTAATGCTCTTTTTTTTTCTCTCCTTCTTTCTTATTCTATCCTTTTTCTATACCCCTTTTACTCTCTTTCTTTTCACTTATATTATTCTTTCATTGGACGTGCACAATCATAAATCTCCACAACTTCCTTTCTTTTTATATTTTACAATACCTTTTTGTCGTTCGCACAAATTCCATTCAGACAATTAACTGTTTTCCCTTTGTTTTCTCTTCTCTTCCATATGTTTTGTGAGTGTTAAATTTTCCAAGCTTTCTTTCATCATTCTCTTTGTGTGTGTGTGTGTGTGTGTGTGTGTGTGTGTGTGTGTGTGTGTGTGTCTGTGTGTGTGTGTGTGTGTGCGTTGTCCTTTCGGGACGTGAGAGATCTGGGCTCTACACAATTTACCTTCTCGTTACTTTAAGCAAATTTTGACTCTTTAGCAAACATCTACGTCCTTGTTCTGCTATCAGCTCACAAATATTCGTTAATTAGGTTACACGCAATTTCTCTTGTTTTTCCTTGTATTCAGTACTTCTTGTGAGTGATAAATTCACCAAGCTTTCTTTCCTCATTCTCTGTATATACTTTGTTCCGTAAGAACAGAGACAATCATAGATCTCTACAACAGTGGCGTAGCTAGAGTAAACGTCACCCGGGGCGATCCGCTCAAATGTCACCCCAATGACCCCGATTCACCCTATGCTGAATGGTTAGCTGTAGCTAAATTTTCATACCTGCTCTACCTCTACTTTACTCTACTGACCGGTACGTTGCTGTTTACATGTATGATCCAAGACAAAATCAAATACAACAAAATAATCAGTTCAAATCAAAAGCTGAAAACATTGCTATTTTTCCTACTCACAAATTTCCCAACAATTTATTAGAATATTTCTGACGGGGGGACAAAACTGGGGGGTCATAAATTATTTCTGGGGGATCATATGCCGGCCTGCGAAACCCTGTGTCTCCACCACTGTTTTCAGACTATTTTTGGCACCTTAGCCTAGTTGAAAAATTTTGTTGGGGGTGACATTGTGTCACTCCTCCTGTGCTGGCACCCGGGGCGGTCCGCCCCCCACCCCGCCCCTCTTAGCTACGCCACTGCTCTACAACATCCTGCTTTTTGTTGTAAGTTTTGATACTTACGATCAATCTTTACTCTTTTTTAGGCTTCACACGCTTCACACAAACTTATTAAGTAGGTTATTTGCTGCTTCTCCCTATTTCTCTAGTCTTTAATATATTTTGTAAGTGTTAAATTCTTCAAGCCTTCTTTCCTCAGAAATCACAAATGTCTACTTCTGATTTCAGGCATATTTGTAATTCATTTGTGTATATTTATACAAATGTTGTATTCATAAAATAGGTTTTAAAAAAAGTACTGTCATACAAAAAAAAAAATGACTGAATCTACGTACTTTGATCATGTAAATTGTTACGAATGTTTATAATCATATCTATCTATCTGCCTGTCTGGCTGTCTATCTCGGTCTATTCATATTGATCGATATATATATATATATATATATATATATATATATATATATATATATATATATATATATATATATATATATATATATATGAAGAAAAATATACGGAAAAAACAAACAAAAAATCCTAATATGCAATTATACTGTTTTAATTTTAATAAAATAATAATATGCATAATAGGATTTTTTTGTTTTTTTCCGTATATTTTTCTTCATCATATATCGGATCTATATCCATATATTTATATATATATATATATATATATATATATATATATATATATATATATATATATATATAGGTATGTGTATGTATGTATACTTGACCAACTTGATAGCTACAACACATTAGATACATGAGTTTTCTAAATAAGTTAAATCTTAATACCCTAAAATAAAAAAAGATGGATTTTCCTTAATCCCAAAATATAAAGTTTGTCTGGACTTATAAATTAATTAATTAATTAATCAATTTCATGTTCATTGTTATTCATGATTACTTTAAGACTCCTTAAAAGACTCCAAACCTTACAGCTACAATCCATCACCTCCTCTCTCTTCTCTCTCTCTCTCTCTCTCTGTGTATATATATATATATGAAGAAATATAGTCTTAAGATGTGCTATATTTATGGGATAAAGTGCTCAATATCAGAGATAGAGCTTGTGGCCTGACGATTGCATCTAACATGAAACAGACTGTCGCCTCTAAGTGTTGACTACTATGTTCACTTTTATAGGAATATATATATATATATATATATAGGAATATATAGGAATATATATATATATATACAATATATATAAGAATATACAATATATATAAATATATATGTAAAGAGAGAGAGAGAAAGAGAGAGAGAGAGTAATAGAAAGACAGACAGAGAGGGATCTCCCTGCTGAAAAAAAACTATAAAAATCCACATTTGTATTATTACATATATCACTTTAGTGACTAAAACCGATTCATCCTCCAACCACCTCGCCACCTTACAGATTACTTCTCTCAACCGTACTCTGAAAACTCCCCTGCATACTCTCTCTCTCTCTCTCTCACGCACTCTCTCTCTCTCTCTCTCTCTCTCTATCTATCTCTATCTCTCTCTATCTCTATCTCTCTCACACACACACACCCTCTCTCTTTCTTTTAGCCTTAAACCTTAACCCCCAACTCTAAATCCCAAACAAGTGTTACGGTGTCTTGTAGACAGTATTAGAAAATAACACCATAAAAGTAAAATATACTTACCTCTCTAGTCTCTTTTCTTTTCTTTGTCTCATATATCACCACCACAAGTACCAACTTTCCACTATCTCATTACTCTTTCCCCAATTTTACTCTCTTTATCTATCTATTTAGCTCTCTCACACTCACTTAATACTTACCCCATCGTTTTCTTTCGCTCTTTTTTTCCATCCCTCACCCATGACAGAGTATTATGGCCTTCTTGTGAAGTATTCGTATAAACACTTTCTACGTCCGACTGTCCGTCTACATTTGTCTCATACGGCATGCTGTGACTAAAAGACCCCACCCCAACAAACACGCCTTCGTCGGACTATCTTCCGCAAGTTTCTGTTGTCGTCTCTACACCTCAAACTTTAAAATACATTACAAACACTTATAAAGACACCACTTAACAAAATTATGTACTTGTTCATCTGTGTATATGTGTGTGTGTGTGTGTGTGTGTGTAGTCATTTACGTACTTCGAAGTAAGTATATGCATACACATACACACAGTGACATGAAGTGTATGCATGATTTTATTTTACAAACTGTTTTTTATACACACGCACACACACAGACATATATATATATATATATATATATATATATATATATATATATATATATATATATATAATGAAAAAACAGACCACTTTAAGGTACCATTACAATAATTTATTTCACCAAAATCCTTTTAAAGGACTCCGGATCATCAGGTAACACTTCCAACAACGAAATGAAAGGAAAAATGGGATTAGAAATTGATTAGTAATTTTTGTAATTTAACAGGGAGGGTGATAGTTGTAGTTAACGAGACAAGGTAGACTATAGGGAGGGGTTAATTTCATATTTGTCTTAAGCATGCTTTATATTGGGGTAGGAGGAGTGTTACCTGATGATCCGGAGTCCTTTAAAAAGGATTTTGGTGAAATAAATTATTGTATGGTGCCTTAAAGTGGTCTGTTTTTTCA